ATGGATGGATGACGGTTGGGTGGGTGCATGGATGTATGGATGGATGACGGTTGGGTGGATGCATGGATGTATGGATGGATGACGGTTGGGCGGGTGGATGGATGAGTGAGTGGATGAGGGATAACAGGGATATGCAGGTGGATGGATGGATGTGGAAAAGGAAATAGGTGAGCAGATGGGACAAGGAGGTGGTGGGGCAGAGAACAGTGACTAGGGAAGGCAGGGAGATGATGGCGCCCACATGCCTGAAAACAGAAGGAATCGATCTCATACTCCTGGAAGCAAGAGGACCAACGGGAAGGGATGCGGACAACAAGGAACTCTGGGACAGCATTGCCACTGCTGCCCCCACATGTCAGAACCCCACTCCCAACCCTGAATCCTGCCTCCACTTGGTACCTTTTTGGCCCCGAGCTTCAGTGCCTTCTTCCTGGCTTCTTCAAAGTCTTCCTTCTGGCCGATGTTGGCCTGAGAAGCAGAAGCAGAGAGGCATCATCAGCCCAGCGGCATAAAGAAGAGTGGGGGGAGAACTGCAGCCGCCCTGGGCAAGTGCTGTCTGTCTACAGCACCCCTCAAAAGGAGGTACTTTCCATTCGAGGGGCCAAGGTCACAGTAAGGAGAAAGGCACAGAACAGGGTCCGGGGAAGCTGGACTGCTTCTGGGAGGTGACACTTGTCCCTCTCTGGACGTGCTGGGAAGCAGTTCCCGTGGGTCGGAGCGCTAGGTGGCCCTGGCCCTGCACACTATGCTGCCAGGACCCAGAACTTGCTGTCACTGCCTTAAAGGTCTCAGGCTTCCCTTAAGTCCATCTATCTCATCCTGAAAACTCCCCCAAAGCCAGTACCGAGGTCGCCGTGTCAGAAAGTACACAACCCCCAGGGGACTTCTGCCCCCGAGCATAGTGACTTGACCATCCCAAGGCATGTGGGCAGGTGGGAGTCCATCCCAGCTGTTGGACTCCAACTTCTGTGACAGTCCCCTCTCCAGACGCCAGCATGGTTTCTGCTGGCTGCGCTCTGGCCTGCTGCCCAGGTTTCGACCCTGCGTTCTGCTCGCCAGACTCTGGAATCTTTCCAGAACCCAGGTGCATGTGCTTTCTGAGGTCACTCAGCTTTTAAATCTGTTTCGCAGTAGCTGGGCTTCCGGACCACCCCACTGTGCTGCCATCAGCAAGACCAACACACCCTGGGGTCCTCCCGTGCTCCCAAAGCGGTGACTCTCACTGGCCAGGGGGCTGGGAGTGAGGCACTTCCCCTCCTGGGCCTCACTCTCCCCGACCCAAGGGACAAGGGGACTGGGCACTGTTAGGTGATATTGACTTTAACTGCAAACCAATCATTCCTGGCAATAGCTGAATTTTTGTCTCTGGAGAGCACCATCTTCCCTTCCTCTGGGAACAGAAACCTCTCTTCTAAGCCCTCTTGCCATAAGAAGGGAGGGGAACAAATCATGTCTTCTGCTCACTGTTGGGACAGGCCCAGGATCCAAGCCCACACAATCAGAACCCTTCATGACACAGCCATGGAAATCAATGTGTGGCGGGCAGCAGCTCGGGCAGTGAAAATACCCCTGGGCTCTCCATCAGGGCTTCTGCAGGAGGCTCTCCTTTCCCTGGGAGAGCAAGGCTACAATGACGGGAGCCTTGCCTGCCCTGTGGAGAGGCCAAGAATGAAGCCCAATAGAGGTGGAGACAGATCTGGATATGCACCTGGATCCAGCCTTGCCTGAAGCTGTCAAAGCCCAGATTTCTGTCACGCGAGCCAAAAACTCTTTTTTCCCCCCCATTTCATTGATTTTGCTTAAATTGGTATGTGTTAGACTTTAAGAATTTGCACTCAGGGGTCCTGAGTACATGGAGGATTCAGAAGCTACCTCCAGTCTAGTTCATTAGAAACAGAGCCAGCTTGACCAGGGATGCCTGCTGGACCCAGCACAGGGGAGTGGCATCACACATAACCTATTACCTGCCTGGGACCTGTCTGTTCCTAGAACTAGGTGGTCTTCAAGGGCACTGCCAGTTCAGCCACTGTAGGGTTCTATGAACTTTGCAGAATCACTGGGGCTGACAACGGACTTCTGGAAATGGGGAGAGTGTGCTTTCCATGGCCTTCAGCAGGCCCGTGGTCCCTGCAAGCAGGCTGGCCAAGTCACACCGCCAAGCTCTTTCCCGCTGTTCCCCACTCTGGTTGCCCACAGAGAGCTGGCCTCCCCCGTGCTCTGCAGGGCATCCCAGACCTGGGGGACACCATGGATGTCCGTTTTATGGAGGAAGAAAGGGAAGGAGAACCACAAGTACGTGCCTACAGTTCAGGGCAGGTTTAGGGAGGGGTCAGGCGAGTGATGGGGAGCAGGACAAATAGGGAGAAAGACACACTGAGCACCTCCTTACCAGGTAGGCAATGACGTCATAGCCTTGTTCCTTCAGCCACACGAGAATGCAGGAGGTGTCCAGGCCACCACTGTAGGCCAGAACCACAGAGCCTTTGCTGGACATCTCGTCTGGGGGTGGGGGAGGGGTTGAAGAAGGACAGTGACGCAGAGCCAACCCGTCCGGACCCGTCAGCCCCTGCAAATAGCTCCCCCCCCCCGACCCTTGGCCTTGGGCAGCCTCGTCCTCCAGCACCCTCCAGCATCCCCAGCTCTCGCTGGGGGGTTGGGAACAAGATGTTCACCTATCATCAAGGCCAGCCCAGGAGCTGTTCCTTCCCAAAGCCTCACCTTCTCCACCCCTACCCCCAGGGAATTGACCCTCCCACTGCATGCATAGTCACACAGGCAAGGTCTGGGGAATACTGACAGCAGCTTGGGGCTGATGGGATGGGGGAGCCTCTGGGGGATGGCGGGAAGTACATCTTGGAGCCACTCCCCCACCAGCTAGAGAAAGTACGTGAGGCTGAGCTGTTGGGACCAGGCCATGATGCTTGGGAGACATGGGTGGGTCACTCGGAGAGCGCTAGGTGTGGCTCTGAGGGCCTCCCGGAGCTCGCCCTGCACCCCCACCATGACCCCATGGAGTGGCAGCTGTCACAGCCCCTGGGGAGACAGAGACTAGGGAGACAGAGACTGGGGCTCAGACAGGTGAGCAGCCGACGTGACCAGAGCACGTGCCAGGGCCCTTCCCAGCATGCAGTGCTGCCTCCCAGCTGCAGGCAGAACGGGATGCTGGGGCGCAGAGCTCCTGCCTCCACGCTTCCTCCAAACAGGGGCCCCAGTGAACCCTCCTGCCCTGGGATTTTAGACTCTTTTCAAACGCAAGCACCTCTGGGAGGGAAAACAAGAGACCCCGAGCTCCTGAGGGGACCTGCTGCTCTGGGACGGAGATGCAGACACCGAGCCCCGGAGAAGGAAGGAGATGGGCAGAGGGAGGGCCTTCCTGGAGGTGTAGATCACAGACCTGTCCCTCTGCAGCAGGGACAGGAGTGTCCCACCCTATCCATCTCCTCGGCTACCTCAAGGCATCAGGGGCTGCTATCTTCTTGCTTTTGCAGCTGCTGTTCCTTCTTCCAGAAGCCTCTCCCCAAACCCTTGGGCTGTGTTGGGGCTCGCCCTACCTCCCCAGGCACTCTCCCCAGGGCCCTGAGAGCAGATGCCATTACTGTGCCCTTTTGCTAAAGAGGAAATCGAGGGTCACAGAGGTGGAGTCATGAGCTTGACATCAGATGGTCAGCAGGCAGCGGGACCAGATGTGGAAAGAGCTCGTCTGGTCCCAGCGTCCCTGGACATGGCCCAGCCTCCTGCATTACAGGGGGGGATGCCTGTGTCTGGTGACGGCGTTGACCCTGGAGCCTGACCAAGGGCAGGGTCCTCATTAGATACTCTTGGGAAAAGCCGTGGATACCCCTCCACAGACCCATGGAGCCCAGAAGGGGCACCCCACCATGACGATCGCGAAGATGCAGGCTCCCACATACTGAAAACCTCCCCTGTGCCTGGAGGTCCTGAGAGGTGCTGTCCCTGTCACTCAGCCCTGTGCAGCAGAGCCTGGACAGAGCCCAACGTGACTAGAACACATGTCCCCTGTGCAGACACAACTCACTGGCCCACCCACCTGCTGGCTCCAGGGCTCACACACCCCACAGCCCTTTGGACACAGAAGGGAACAGTGAGGTTGGGGGGGGGGGTGCTGTTTCTGATGCATGTTCACAACTTTTGCCTCCAGTGGGCATCCGACCACCTGCCAGGCCCTGGCCCCAGCCACCTGTTTGCTGGTGACTCAGCAGACCCTGACCCTGGGGCCAGGAAATGGTGCCCATGGCAACAGCGGCCAGGCAACAGGCCACCAGAAATGGAGGGAGGGAGGGAGGGAGGGGATGGGAAGGGAGGCAGGAAGGACCCGGAAAGCACCTTGGATTGGAGATGTGGGTTCCTGGCTTCTGGAATCTGACTTCGCAGCTCCGTGAACCACTCTGCAAAAGCGAAAACTGTTCAGCTGCCCGGCGCAGAAGTCCAGGGGAAGCCAGAGGCCTTGAACCTGGCCTCTCCTGCTGCTGGATTCCCCTGGAGCAGCCCTGTTGATTGAGGAGATGTGGGGAGGCCCACGAGCCACCCGCCCAGCCTCCCGGCTCTGGAAGGTACTGGTGCTCCCAGCCCCGAGTGCTTGTGCCATGGTCCTGGGGGTGGGGGTGGGGGTGGGGGGTGTATCCTGCTGCATGTCTTCCAAACAGCTCCACTCAGGAATAACCGAGATACAAGAAATTGCATTTACTGAGAATCTCGGATTTAACACAAAACTGTCACCACGATCGACACAAGGAACCTATCCATCACAGGCTGAGCCCTTCCCTTCGAGTCATCTCTGTTTTAGAGACAAGGAAACTGAGGCTGAGGTTAAGGAACTGGGCTGAGGCCTTGCTTGGCGGGTCCTGTGGCAGAACCAGGACTCGAACCCAGAGTGGCTGGGCCCCGCGAACCCCTGCTGGACGGTACAAGGGCCAGAGAGGGGAACCGCAGGGGCACATGTGGTCTGGGAAGCTACAGGGGCTCAGACACCCTGGCATGGCTGGGGCGGGTTCAAGACAGGGAGAGAGGATGGTGGTCCAAGATTCACCCTGTTCTTAGAGTCTAATCACCTTTATTTTTCTTATTAGCAGCAAAATGAACAAAAGAGTGTTAGCTATTTTTGTTTGTTTTTCATTTTAATCTGTGATATTAACTTCAAATGTATGAATTAGACATAGGGAAGGTCACTCGTGTATGTAACCTAGCAATACTTCAATTTACTGTGGATAAATGTTTAAGAACGCCACACACAGGGGTGCCTGGGTGGCTCAGCGGGTTAAGCCTCTGCCTTCAGCTCAGTTCATGATCTCAGGGTCCTGGGATCGAGCCCCGCATCAGGCTCTCTGCTCAGCAGGGAGCCTGCTTCCCCCTATCTCTCTGCCTGCCTCTCTGCCTGCTTGTGATCTCTCTCTGTGTGTCAAATAAATAAATAAAAATCTTAAAAAAAAAAAAAAAGAATGCCACACACAAATGTAGACCTTCAGAAAAGGCAAAATGTAAGGCAACAGGCTATTTCTCATAATAGCTTTAAAAGACAATTTGGGGGACACCTGAGTGGCTCTGCTGGTTAAGTGGCCAGTTCTTGATTTCTGCTCAGGTCAGGATCTCAGGGTCGTGGGATTGAGCCCTACACGGGGTTCCATGCTCAGTGGGAAGTCTGCTTGAGAGTCTCTCTCCCTCTCCCTCTGACTCTCTTCTCTCTCTTTCTCAAATCAATAAATAAATCTTTAAAAAAAAAAATAGAAGTCCCTGCCCTGCTGTCTCCTAGAGGCATCTGGAGCCAAGAGGGTGGGCACTGGAGTGAGGGAGAGGAAACCCCATGGAGAGAGACAGACCGCCTGTGCCTGCCCCGCTCTGCCTGTGAGCCCTGGTCCACGGCCCATCCTAGCCTACGTCACGTGGGGGTCTGACCGCACCCCCCACCCCCACAGCTGTGAGCTCCACAGGGACAGGGACCATCTCACAGACCGTGCCTGACATGCGGCTGGTACTCAGAACGACGCTTTGGATGCCGTGGTCTAGAAGTCAGTTCCTTGCCTTGAAAGAGAAGGTTAGGGAAATCCCCTGAAAGCCTGGAATTCTAGGGGTGCCCTCATCCGGACACTAGTGAGCCTGCCTGCTTGGCCCTGGGGACTGAGCACAGTGGAAGAATGCACGCAGCCCCATGTCACCCCTGACATCCTTCACCAGAAGAGGGACACCTGGGAGGAAGGAAGAAGGTGGCCTCGTCCCGAGATGCCCGCCAGCCCGGCCCGAGTTGCAAAGGCAGGCGACATTCTCCGTGGCCCCAGCCAGAGCCGCCCTGCCACCTGCCGGCGACGGTGTTAGGCCAGCCGTGGCCCTCGCCCTGTTCCCTTGTGCTCTAAAATCTCAAAGCAGGAGCGAGGACAAGAGAGATACTGTGTTCAGTGCCACACTCGAGGAGGAGACTATTACTACCACATGGGGCTCAGAAAAGGTAAAGCAACTTCCCGGGGCCACACAGTAGCAGATGGCAGGGCTGGGACAGAACCCCGGGCTGACTGCAGACCGCCTGTCCGTTGCTGCCCCGTGCCCTATACACTCGGGACTCTAGGGGACCACAGATCGCCTCCCCCTCACTGTCATCTTCCAGAAAACAAAACCCTCAATGAGCCATCACCGGTCAGTATATTTCTGTGTGTCAGGCCTACAGGCTGGCAAACATTCTTCCAGAACCCCTCCCTGGCATTCTGACTCAGCTGAGCTTGTTTCGTTACATTTTCTTAAAACTCTAGCTCCACCGAGGCCAGAAGAATTCTCTCGGACTTTGGGGTTTCTCATTCTAGGGCTGCTGCCCCTGTCCCTTTGGGGCCCCCTTTTGTGTCTGAAGAGCTAGGCTGCAATTCCACACTCTGACCAGGAGGTGCCGCTGCTGGGTCTCAGCCTGCCCTTAGGCTTGACATGCGGGGGCTCAGCTCTTGCGCACATCCTTGGTAAGACAGGGGAAGGATTTTCTTCCCAATTGACAGATGAGAAAGCTGAGGCAAGGGGCTTGCCCTAGGCTAGACACTGAGCTGGCTCTCAGCCGTGGATTCCTGGGGCCTGAGAATCAAATCAGGAACACTGGCTCCCTCGAGGACAGTGGAACTCCAGCAAATGTCTCCCACCCAGTGGAACTCCGGCAAAGGTCTCCCACCCATTCAAAGGGTCTGCCTGAGTCGGGGAGGCTGAGTCTCTGGTTCTGGTGAAAAGCCCCTGAGACGCGTGGTAGGGAGCCTAAGAAGATCTCACTAGATTCTGGTAAGAGACACACAAGAGCATTTGGAGCCCATGGAGGAGAGGAGAGTGCATTCATTTATTATTGATTCTACGTCTGGGGAGGGCGCCTGCCACCCGACAGAACACGCCGGGGCCTGGAAGGTCAACCCTGCCTACAGTGCTACAGCAGAGCTCAGAGCCTCAGACCTTGAGCTGGTTTCTCTCTTTCCACAAGGGTGCCCAAGGGCGAGGCACTCACTTCAGGGGCTTTGTGCTCTGGTGAAGGCAGCTGGCTGGCCTGGCTGGCTTCCCAGGACCCATGGAGCTAAGATGAAACGGGGCATGGGAAAGTGCTTGCGCAGCAAGTGAGTCTGGGCCTGGCTCCCCTCTGTGAGTCAGGTTCCTGGGGCCCTAAACCAGGGGAAACTGGCTACCAGCACGGCCACCTGGCCACAACCCCCCCCCCCCAGCAGGCCAGCAGTGGGTGGGGCGCATGTGAGGACTCTGGGGACCTGATTATTCGTAGTGGGGGCCTCCCTCCTCTGCCTCACCGAGTGCCTGGCCCAGGCTCCAGGTGCTCCGAGGGCAGCCTTGTCAACTTGCACTGAGCAGAGCGTTCTGCTTCTCAGAGCAGTGCACAGGTGGCTCCAGCTGGGACGGGTCCCCATCCCGCCCCTGGGCTCCCCTGCCTGGGCTCTGAGAGGCAGATGGAAGAGGGAAGGGAGTTTAGAGTGAAGCCACCCCGGGGTCCATCCATCTCCAAAGTTCCTATCCCTTTGTGGCGCTTTCCCTTTGTGGCGCTTTCCGTCTCCCTGGTCTTCCTCCCCACCGGAACCTTCAGTAGGAGGGCAGAGAGCTTGTCTCCTGTCCCATGTCCCCCAATTATGGCACAAGGGGAGACCGTTAATGAGTAAATGGACGCATGCACGGTTCTCAGTATGTCTACAGAGACTGCCCCACAGTCTCTGTTTCCTGAGCCCTGAGCCTGTGCCAGCTCTGACAGATGGAGAAACTGAGGCTCAGGCAGCTGGCAGCTGACCCAAGACTCCCCTTTGGTGCCTGCCTTTGCGGCTTGGGTCTACTGGCTCCAGAATCTGCCCTGTCACCAGCCGTGGTCTGGGAAGGAAGGATCAAAGCCCAGGGTCTATTTGATCCATCCCCGCGGAAAGGACAGGTTTGTTCCTGCCTGCGATGCGCAGCCAGCCAGAGATGCTCTGGAGGAGACGCCCCCACTGCGCAGAAAGGAACACTGAGGCGGCCGGGTCACGGGACCTCCTCAGGAGGAGCCCCGGCGGGCGGGGAGAGGAGTTTCCTCTATTTCACAAGGACTCTCCCTCCCTGGCGGGGCGCAGCCGCCCCAGACGCCAGAGACAACAGCAACCCGGACGGCGGACGTTTCCTGCGGAGCGGCCCCTCCCACAGCCCCGAGCCCAGCGCCGGCCAGAAACCCGGCACGGCGACCCGGCGCCGCCACCGTCCCCACCCGGCGGAGATCGCAGATCCCTTTCAGAACCAGAGACTGCGCACCCCTGCCGGGGAGGGAGCGCAGTCACACCCACGACCCCAGCGCCTCGCAGCCCGGGTCCCGGAGCCCAGCTGCCTGGAGTAACCTAAGGCTCGGGGCTGTGGGAGGGGCGATACGCCCAAGCCCCGGGACAGGGGGCCCAGGTGGGGCTGGAACTCCGGGTTCACGCGCAGAGAGGCGGAGACAGAGATCGCGCGGGGGGTGGCCAGAGAGGGGGCGAGAGAGTGGGGACCCCCCACACCCTCCGGACTCCAAGGTCTCCATCTGGGGGGCTCCCGCAGAAAGGAAGCTGGATTAGAGACGGAGACTCCAGAAAGGACCCCGGCCCGCAAAGGGGACAAATAACCCGACCTGCCGCCCTCGGAGTACCCGGACACGTGCCCCGGCCCCACCCCCGAAGGCCCCAGGAATCCGGCCGCCCGGCGTCTGAGCCGCAGAAGCCCGGGGCGTCGGCCTCCTTCCCTCCCGTCCGGTGCCAGCCCGGGGCACGCGGCCACTCGGCGCCGCCCTCTGCTCCCGCCCGCGCGGGCGCCAGGAGCGCGGTCCCCTCGGCCTCCTCGGCTCGCTGTCGCTGGGACCCGCGGCGGGGTGTCTCCTAGGCGGGGGGTGGGAGCGGGAGTCTCCGGCCGGGGGCTCCTTACCGTGGCCCGGGCGGCGGTGGCAGGCGGCGGAGCAGGGCCGTTTGCGTCGCGAATCCCAGATTATAAACACCTGGCCGGGGGCAGGGCCGGGGACCGGGGACACGTGGGAGAGCGCGTGCGACAGGCCCCGCCCCCGGGTCCGGCCCCCACCGGGAGCCGCTCGGCGTCCGCGGCCACCTACGGGTGTGGGCGGGGCCCGGTCGCTCGCTCCCTCCTGGCCCGCCCCTCCCCCTCCCGCCCTCTGGGGGCCACAGGTGCTCCCGAGGACGCTCGGGCCGTGCTCCGCCCGGGTCCTCTCGCCCAGGCCCCTGGGCAGACGCCCCCTCCGGACGCGGCGGTGGCTGGACCGCGCGCAGCTGGCCAGTGAGCTCGGCCGTCCTGCCAGACACTTGCCACCGCTCCGCGGTGGGAGTGGGAATTAAAGTCCCTTAGATGGGGGCACCTGGGTGGCTCAGTCGTTAAGCGGCTGCCTTTACCTCAGGTCCTGATCCCAGGTCCTGGAATTGAGCCCCACGTCGAGCTTGTGTGCTTGGCGGGAAGCCTGCTTCTTCCTCTCCCTCTCCCCCTGCTTGTGTTCCTGCTCTCCCTGTGTCTCTCTCTCTGTCAAATACATAAACAAAATCTTAAAAAAAAAATTTTTTTTTAAAGTCCCTTAGGTGCGGTGAGTTTCATGTCCACTCTTATCCCATGGTGGCCTTCTGCAGACCTCGAAAGCCCTCCCTTTCCCCCACAGTAGCCTCCATGAGCGGGAGCCTGGGGCAAGCGGGGGAGTGTACTGGAAGGTCGGGGTTTCATCCCTCCGTCCAGGGCTGCTTCTTGGCGGTCTCCCCAGAGGCTGGCAGCTGGCCAAACTCCCTGGGGCACCCAGTAAACAGTGAATAGAAGACTGGGCGACTGCTAAGCCATTGGACAGCCGGGCTCACAACTGAGGTTTACAGAGGTGAAGTTTCTTGCTTGCAAAGAGAAACCGGGAGCTGCTACCCCAGCCTGGCCTCGAGAAGGTTCTGTGTGTCAGACGTTGGCCAGCCTGGTTTAGAGGCCCCAAAGTCCCCATCACTGCAACCACAATTGAGCAAAATAGCAGGCAGGCGCCCCCTGCCTCGGGTGCCCAAACTCCAGAAGTGGCTGAGATGGCAAGGAGCCCCTTATGGGCTGGGTGGGGCCGGGAGGAGGGCGCCAGCTGGCCCCCTTAGCCCCTCCCTGAGCCACTGGCCTTCCACACTAGCAGGAAGCAAGTGTGGAAGAGCCAAAAACGCACACCTGCTGCGGGTCGTGCCTCCTTGGGCAGCTTCCTTCCCCAGCGGAGGTGGGGAGGAGGGGGAGCATTTCCACAGTCCTCTCTGTCTCCATCCTATGACTCTGTGCTGGGTCTTTGAGATGCCCTTTGAGAAAGTTGGGGGGAGTGTGGGTGCATGGGGGGGCCACCTACTTGGAGTTATTACAGAGGGAGTGGGGAGGGAAACTGAGGCAGTGAGGCCTGGCCCTCCCCTGAAGTCCCTAAAGCCAGTGGTGGCCCCAGAGAGAAGCCCCATGACCCAGATCTTAGAAAGATGGTGGGGTGAGGAACGAGCCCCTGCCAGTCTAGGATGGATGGGTGGGAGGCAGGGGGGGTGGGAGAGGAAGTAAGGTCATCTGTGTCGATCTGGGACACAACTACACCCTTGTGGTTCTCACCAAGCACTGTTTCATCTCCCTGCCTTCACTTACTCTTCACAACTACCCTATATGAAATCACTGTGACCGTTATCCCCATTTTACAGATGGGAACCTGCAGCACAGAGAGAGGGTGTGTCTTCCCCAAGGTCACACAGCACATTAGTGGCAGAGTGTGATTGCCCAGAGTCTGAAGCTCTGGCCCAGCCCTCTGTTTTAGCTCAGGCTTGAGCTGAACTGGTAGAGGCACCAGGGTCTCAGGCCCAGGGTCACTGGCTGTGGGGACCTTTACTCTGTGTTGCAGAAATGACTCCAGTCCAGGGGACTGTCCCTTTCTGATGCACAGGCGCTGGTGACATTAGGGACAGTGGTGTCACAGCTCTTCTGAAAGTAAAAAGGGCCCAACTTCCCAGTACAGGTCCTGCCCACTGGGCACCAGAGGGGTATGAGAGGCAGAGATGAAGGCCAGAGTGGATTGGCTGGCTCCCCGATGAGCCACTTTCCACCTGCAGCCCTCCATCCACACCCTGCCCCAGCCCTTTCCCTGCAGAGCAGGTCCTGGGTCCAGCACTGGGGCGTGGCCAGAGGGGATCCCCCACCTGGGCCCGAGCCACACCGTGGCCTTTGCCTTTCACCCACACCCAGGTCAGGGCTGCTCAAGGAGCCCACATACCTCCTAGTAAGTAAGTGACCTTGGGTGGTGCCTCTTAAAGCATAGCAGCACGTAGGCCAAAGCAGGTGGAGAAACTGAGGCACTGGAGTCTGGGATGTTCGTATCTTCTGCATGTATCCAGAGTCTGCCCCTTCCATTCCTTTCCATCTCCACCTACCCCACATTGTCCTGTCTTCTCTTACTCGACCGTTGTTATAGCCTCCTTAATCATTTCTCTGTTTCTCCAGTTTCCCGCCCCTCCCTACGCCCCTCCCCCATCCTTTCTTTACACAAGAGCAGAGAGTTCTTAAAAACTCAGAACAAGTCACTCCCTTCTTAAGCCCTTTGGTGGTTCCTTTTTCCCTATCAGTTCCCGGTTGTTCCAACAACATTAGTCGAAGACTTTCCTTTCTCCATTGAATTCCATTGGCACATTTGTTGAAAATTAATTGACCCTGTAAATGTGAATATGTTTCTGGACTCCCTCTTCTGTTCCACTGACCTATTTATTTATTTATTTATTTATCCTTATGCCAATACTATTCTATCTTGATTACTACAGCTTTATAGTAAGCTTTCAAGTCAGATAGTGCATATCTTCCAGTTTTGTTCTGTTTCAAAATTGTTGTGGCTGTCCTGGGTCTTTTGCACTTCCATGTAAACAGTAGGCACAGATTGCCAGTTTATATCAAAAGCCTGCTGGGATTTTGATTGGGGATTGCAATGACCATATATCAGCTTGGGGGTGGGGAGTGGACACCTTAACAATATTGAGTTTTTCAATCCATGATCATGGTATACCTCTCTAGTTATTTATACCTTCTTAAATTTTCCAGCATATAAGAAGACTTCAAACTGTTCATTGAAAAGTATTAGTTGCTATTTACATGAGCAATGAGAGAGAAACCCAGTCAGGTCAATCTATAGGAGATTATGTCTTGAGATGATCTTCATTTGTGATGAATTCAATTTTTGTTTTAAACCAAAGGTGTATCTCTCAGGTGGTGTTGAAATATATGCCCTTGAGTGTCACAAAATGGATTCTTCATTTGATGTGAAATCTCAGGTGAGAATCTTTTAAGGAGATAGACTAGCAGGACACGAGCTAGAAAAGCTGGAGTTTTTTAAGTTTCCTGCAGGTGATGACATGTTCCTAATAAACTAGGTGGGGCTGGACATCCTCCATTTGGGAAAGTATGTGGTGATTATGGGAAAGGCCTGGGGTCTGTAGCATCAGTGTACACAAGGTCATTTTTCATGCTAGAAGAGATAGAGCTTCTTGGAGTCACAAATATGGCTACTCCAGAACTCAGCTTTGAGATGGATATTTGACTGGCCAGCCTAGAAGACTTGACAGGTGGAGGCCTGTTCTCAGGAAATGCCCAAATCTTCTACTCAGAGAAGAGGAAAACCTGGGAGATTGGTGCATCTTTGGTGGGTATAAAAGTCCTCAATTTCAATGGGCGTGCCAAAGGCTCCATCTTGGTTCAAATGTCTGAGCCATGTTTTTTTGTTTCCAGTGTATAGTTCTTGCTTATCTTTCATTAGACTTATTTCTAAGTATTTTAAGTGTTTTGATACTATTGTACATTAAATTTTAAATTTCATTTTCTGTCATTTGTTGCTCATATATGGAAACACAACTGATTTTCGTATATTTGCCTTATATTCTGCAACCTTGCTAATGTCATGGATTCATTCTAGTAGATATTTGTAAACCCCTTAAGCTTTTCCGTGTAGACAATACCATTGTCTGTGAACAGAGGGAATCTTACATTCATCTGTATTATCTTTTTGCCTCTTATTCTTGCCTTATTGCAATGCTGAGAACCCCCAGTAAGTGTTGAATAAAAATGGTGACGGTGGGTATCCTTGTGTTATTCATGATCTTAGGGGAAGGCATTCATTTAGTCTTTCACTGATAACTGTGATATTAGTGCAGGTTTTCTGTAGACACTTTTCATCAGATGAAGAAGCTCACTTTTAGTTTATTGAGAGTTTTTATCATGAGTAGGGGCTGAATTTTGTCAAGTGCTTTTTCTGCTTCTATTGAGATAATCATTTATGTTTTTCCATTTATTCTTTTTTTTAGATTTTATTTATTTATTTTATTAGTTTTTTAAAGATTTTATTTATTTATTTGACAGAAACCGCAAGTAGGCAGAGAGGCAGGCAGAGAGAGAGAGGAGGAAGCAGGCTCCCTGCTGAGCAGAGAGCCCGATGGGACTCGATCCCAGGACCCTGAGATCATGACCTGAGCTGAATGAAGGCAGTCGCTTAACCAACTGAGCCACCCAGGCGCCCCGATTTTCTGTTGATTCTATAAATATGGTTACATTGATTGATTTTCAAGTGTTGAACCAACCTTGCATTCCTGGAATAATTATATCTCAATAAAGTTGATTTTTAAATTTTTAAGGCAAAACACAGGGGATGGGAGCTTAGGGTTAAAAGAGACGTGAAGGATGTACTTAATCACAAGATGTAGACTTCATTTAGATCCTGATTTTTTTTTAAGATTTTATTTCTTTGTCAGAGAGAGAAAGAGAGAGAGCGCAAGTAGGGGGAGTGGCAGACAGAGGGAGAAGCAGGCTCCTCTAGGAGCAGGGAGCCCAATGCGGGACTCCATCCCAGGACCCTGGGATCACAACCTGAGCCAAAAGCAGGCGCTCAACTGACTGAGTTACCTGGGCATCCCCAGATCCTGAGTTTTTTTAAGCATAAAAGAAACACCCTCTTTGTGAGCG